TGTAGGCGTATGACTTGATCTCGACTTAGTGAGTTTAGGTTGCTCTTGTAATTGACTTGATGTATTCATGAATTCTGCGTAGTGGGAGAGGGTTGTCAGGTCAACCTGAGAGACTGGTTTTACTGTCCCACTGCTTGTGCACTCTGTTTCAATAGGGGAAATACCCTCTTCTGATTTCAGCCTCGCTTCACTTGAGATCTCTGCTTTCAAATAGGTAGTAACTGTCGCATTAGAAAGTATTTGAGAAGGTCTTTCAGAGAGTCTTGCTCTCTGTCCCTCATCTTAACAGGCATTTCATCCTGGACCACATAAACCTTGCTGCGAGAATGTTTGTTTCTGTCAGAAGATTTGGTTTTAATGAATGGATCCGCATTTCCTATGTCAGAAAATAATTGTCTGTCTCTAAAACTATATTCAGTGAAAGAAAGGGACAGAGACTGAACTGGTGGGTTTCCTTCACACTGTGCACTTGCTCTAGGTGCTACCAATTTATCCAGAGGAGCGAAAACCATTTTTAAATTTATCACTCCCTGGCTAAAGCACCAGTCATCTCTTGTAGAGCTCTAGATAGTCAGGGAAAGGGGTAAAGCCAGTAAGACCAAGCAGTAGTGCGTGAGTGAGTGATGGGGAGTAGATTTTTACATCTGTAGTGCAGGTGGCACTTGGCATTTAAAATTCATCTGGGGATATTTTGATGCCGTATCGTTCCAAGGGATACACCAGGTGGTAAAAACTCACAGTTAATGTTTCAGAACACTTTAAGTGTTACTTCCAAGTAGAAAAATAAGGCGCACACTCCTGACTGCCCAGTCATCATACTGTGGAAAATAGCAAATAACGCACTGCTGAATGTGCTGGCTATGCAGCGTGAATTGCTTTTACATCTTCATAATCTACACCCAGAAGAATTACTTGCTGTGATTGTAGCCATAGTTAGCAATGAATAGAGTCTACTAATTTTTTTTTTTTATGTTTTGTGTAATTATACCTAAGAAAAAGACAGAGCTTTTGTATCAAAACTCTTCAGGTAAAGATTTTTTTATAAGCAATGGAGATAAGAATTTTAATTTTCTAAGTACATACTCCTTTTTAATTTTATGAGTTTTCCTTTTCAGTGTAGATTAAAAGGCTGTGAACTCTTTTAACACTATACCTGTAAATGTGAGTAGTAAAAGTTTAAAAATGAAACACTCCACCTGTAATAAATACATAAGCAGCAGACATGGCTTCTGAAATGCTTGTCTACATGCTGTAAATTGGAGTTGAAATTATTAGTTGCCTGGAGTAAGAGTGGGCAGCTACAGTGTGCATTTCCTGTGTGAGGGGATGCCAGCTGAACGAGTGAGCCGTCAAAAACCTGGCATTGCCAGCCACCACTGGCTGCTAGCTGGAGGGGCCATACCGCCCTCTTCTCAAAGACTGCTACAACATAACACCAGGGCCACCTATATCTCCAGCTATTTGCTGTACATCCTGACTTTTATTTCCACTTTAGTCTCCCCCTTGCTGGTCTGTCGCGGGCTGAGGAGCAGGTCCTGCACAGGCTCGTGCAGACCACATGCCCATCACTGGGACGGTCAGCAGCAACTCTGCCGCTGAGCAGATCTGCTTACTCTCAACTATTTCCCAGCAGCAACAGTAGAGCAGCAGAGAAAACATCGCTGTTTTCTGTCTCAAATTCCTCTGGGCCATTTGAGACAAATTTCTTTCTCTTATGAAGAGAGGCTCAGCCTTAGTCACTACATAAGGGATTGCTGTCTGGCTGGTTTCCAAGCAGAGCAGCTGATCTTACGGTGGCCTTAGCTGTTACCTTTGCAATGATTGTGCATGCACAGAGTGATCTACAGAGATGTAACAGCCTTATTTTTTCAGGTTGGCATTTTCTTCTCTGTATGTCAAACTTAGTAAACCTAAGCACGTATCATCTCCTTGCAAAGTTAAATCTATTTGACCCAAAAGCGCATGTGTTTTTTGGGGGGTTAAAATCAAGTAGGCTGGTATTGATTAAACAACCACAGAGTTCATGGATGTTAGTAAAGGGAGAAGCACGTTCTGCTGTTGTACTGTGCTTCTCATTATGGTATGTTTTTCACTCCAAGAGCCATTTGCCTTTTGCAGCATAGAAGAGTGCCTTAGAGCTGCTGGGAGAAGCAGCAGTGATGTTAGTAATGGGACTTCTTTGGCTGCTGCTCTCACTGCGAGGGCTGGGCTGGGCTGAAGTGGACAAGAAACCAGTGATTCAACTTATGGGGCTCCTCTGAAACTTTTCAGTAATGAGACTCTTGGTTAGGAGAAGACTGCAGTACGATATGGTTATTGTTTCCTTTTGGAGAAGGTCCTTTAGGAACTGAGATCACCCGCCTTTTGTTCTCAAAAGATTAATAATCCTTAGTGTACAGAGAATTATAGAGTATTTTTGTCACTATAAATGAATTTTTAAAATCCGGTTATATTTGTTGATGCTTAGCTCACTTTTTCAAAGACTCTTCCAGACCCTTGGAAAGCTGTGGGTAGACCTTGCATTTCCACCCGTGTCTGGTTGTTAGTGCTGAGGCTTGTCCCATCTTCTGAAACTCATGAGCCTGAGCCAGAGCCATTTAAATTCTGGCAGCTAAACAAATGCAGAAAAGTGGAATAGCACGCATGATATTTTGGCAAAAATGAAGTGAAAATGATTCACTTTCACTTCCCTGTGTTTCAGCGTCATGGCATTGGTTCAAGCTGAAGGCAGTATTGTTCCGACTGTCATTGCAGTTGCTTTTCTAATTGCATTTTGCTGCTGCCTCTACAGATTATTAGGAAACCATAAATTAATCTCCTAAAGGCTATAATTTTCTTTTTAATTTTGATGCACGTTTTCACTAATGATCATCAAGCCTTTAGAAGGTAGATATATTTGTTAGTTTACCAAATGGAAGAATAAAAGAGATTGTCCATGAATCTCAAAACAGTGCATTAATCACAGTTAAAACAAAACTCCAAGTGTCCACAATTTTTGCACAGCTTTGTGTAGGAAGATTTCCTTACTTATTATAGTGTCATTGAATGTCAGCATCTTCTCTTAGCAGTTCTTAATTCCTGAAATTTTTACAGCGATGTCTTCTTTTTACTGGGAAATCTGTATTTCATTCTCAGAGTTTTCATTATCTCACCTGCATAAGGGGCAACATAAGCATTCATTGTATACCTTCTCTACTGACCGTACGGCTGCTGCTATGGTTTGTTCTCTGCCTGCCTCTATCTCTGTGTGCTGGCATCAGTTCTGCCATTGACTTTGAAGAGGGTGGAGCTAGCCATTGGTTCTACCAGGAGATAATGTTTTCAATGAACCCATGCCTTTCTTTTCCCAGATTGTACCCGTAGCTGGGTGGAGACACTTAAAAGTTGCTGGAGGACTCCAGTTCCATAATATTCCCCTTCTTCATTGCGAGTGATCTTATTTTTATCCTTGAGGCTTGAGTTATGAAGGAGGTTATTAGGTTGACTGATGTCCTGTCACTGTTGCCCATTTTTTTTTTCCAGCCAGGCCTTCAATTAGTTTGCACTTCTTGCCAATGCAGAAATTATTTTTGGGCCATTAGAAGGTAAATTATCTCAGATTATAAAATTTATTGCTGACTGTAGTGCTTTGTTAATACTGGGGACAAAGAAGAAATTGCCCTTTGCTAGTTTTCCAAAAGGATGTTTGTTTTTGCACTGTTGCCAGGCCTGTTCCACTGTGGAACACCTTGAAGATGTTTCTTTTCTTGAAGGAAAGAGACATGTACAGTGAGCCCAACCTCCTTCAATAGATGGTGATTGTTTCAGATAGTTTTGATTTGGTCTTACCTTCAGTCTGGAAAACTGCAATCATTGTCTTGTCTGTTCTTTAATATAGAAAGCCCTGTTAAAGTAAGTGATATCACCCTGAAACACATGTGCACTCAGACTCCAAGCCATGATCATGCTTGATTGGAAGTGTAGCAGCAGAAATAGACAAAAATAATTTTCCATTCTCCCAGTTGTTGTGCATCTCACCACATACTACGTTATTTTCCATGTTCTTTAGCTGTGGGTTGTGTATGATCATTAGGGAAACCATTTCTGCTTTTTTCCCCCCCTTTTCTTAAAGGGACTTTAAAGTGAGGAACTTAATATTTAGAAGACAAATCATTTGTCAAGCTTGTCAAGAAGAGGTCTGATATGCAAGAAATAGGCCTGTCTGATTAAGTACCAGGTTTGGTTACAAAGTGCTTTTAAAACCGATCTGCTGACCTTGCACCAGCAAAGCTTGTGTTTGCAATCTGTAAATCTGGTGTATGGTGCACTTATTTTAGGACAGCTGCAATGCTGTTTTCTTAACATGTATATACATGTGTACACCTAGATATATGTACATACACACATATATATATACTTGCACCCCACAAATACACATACTTATTTAACACAGCAAATATGTACACACCTGTAAATTGTTCTGAAGAGTTAACACTTGTTGGATTTGTATTTCTTTGGAGAAATTTCCTTAAGAAAATTGAAAGGAGATGTTAGAAGTACGTCCAAAAGCAAACAAAGCAATGTTGAGACTCAGTTCTTGTTTACTTCCCTGGTTGGTAACGTCTAATGATGCCCCTACCACAAAACTCAGTGTTGTATTTTGTACATTCATGCCTTCAGAGTATCCTTACTGTGCTTTCAGGATATGAGGCAATTAGTCATAATAGGGTAATTATATTTCCAATCAGACCATGTTATGGAAAGTAGTGTTGCTAGAGGAAGCAAATATTTGACCTGGGATCTTTTGTACTTACACGAAACCTGGAACCTGCTATCATGTGTTATTGAGAAGAAGGATGCAGTGCAAATCTGAAAAATGTCTATTTTCATCTTTGTATCTTCTTCCTTGTCTTTCTCTCTCTTTTAAATAGTTGCTGCATGATAATGAGAAGTTCTGTTATGTAAAATGTTGCTGTGCTGATAAGAATGGTTCATGACATGATGATGCATTTATGGTGCAGGTACCTGGAGCTGGAAAGCAGCGGTCATCGAAATGAAATCAGGTTGCATTATCGTTCAGGCAGTCATCGCTCCCACACAGAAGTATTCCCATACATTTTGGCAGATGATAAATGGCACAGGCTTTCCTTAGCAATCAGTGCCTCTCACTTGATTTTACATGTGGACTGCAATAAGTAAGTAAAGAGCGTGGCTTAGTAAGAAGTTGTCACATTTGGAACATTGCAGCTCTAAGTAAATGAAGCGCTAACAACTTGGGACTATATTTTTCCCTTTTCAGAATTTATGAAAGAGTTGTGGAGAAGCCCTTCATGGAGTTGCCCTTGGGTACAACCTTTTGGCTGGGACAGAGGAATAATGCACATGGTTATTTTAAGGTATGCATTACCTGAAAGGAAAAGAGTGAACTTAAATAAAAATGATTAAGGTATTGGAGCATCTTTCATACAGAGAGGCTGGGATTGTTCAGCCTAGAGAAGAGAAGGCTTGGGGGGGAACTTGTTAATGTGTGTACATACCCGAATGTGTGAGGGGAATGATGATGACTCTTGTCAGTAGTGCACACTGACAGGCTGTAAAGCAGTGGGCAAAACCTGAAACATCTGAAATTCCATCTGAACATAAGAAAACAGTTCTACTAGGAGCTTGGTCAGAATAAGACTCAAAAGCCATTTGGACACAGTCTTGGACAACCTTCTGTGACTGATCCTGCTTGACAAGGGAGTTGGGAGTAAATGATCTCAGGAGGTGCCACCCAACCTCAATCAGTCTGTGCTTCTGTAACTCATAACGCAGTTCTTCGCGTTGTGGTGTGTTGTGTATCAGCACATGTGATGCAGTGAGCTGTGTTTCCATCAAACTGGACTTCACTAAATGAAGTTGCAGAGCCAATGCATAGTGCTCTGTCACCAGATAACAGAGTCAACAGAAGCCTAAGACTGGGAAAAGTAAATGTGCATCAGAATTCCAAGAAATAAACAGTTGGATTATTGTCTAGATCATAGCTAGATGCATTTTTTTTGTGTCACAGAACCCTACAGTCTAGGGAAGTCCAATTTCATTGCCTCTGTGGGATTTAGATTTCATCACAATATTTTTTTGGCTCAGAATTGAATGAGATGACTAAAGTCAATGAAGAGAATGCTTTTTCCCCAGAGGAGGAATATTGGTACATGCTTTTTGCTTACTGCCTCTATTTCAACGTGTATATATAGGAAGCACCTGGTGTATAGCAGGACTGAAGAACAGGTGTAAACTTTGATTCCTCTTGAGTCCATTAGGTAGCACTCACTGATCACAGCTGCTGTCCGTGGTTTGGCCTCAGTCTTCTCTGGAGCTGTTTTAATAAACAATGGCATCCCTGTGGATGCCTTCTGCACAGCAGTACCATTTTCTTCCCAGTAGGCACATTCTTTCTTGAGCTGCAAAACAGAATTGATGATCTCGATCACAGACCCAATCATTTCTCTGAAATATGGCCTGCTAAATGCTTTTTTTTTTCAGTGTAAACCAGTTTGACTGTGGTTTTCATGGCAAATTCTATTCTTTTTTACGAAAATCAGTTTTTGTGTGTTGAAATACTGTTTGCTGTACTTAAATGCTAATTTATATCCTTATTGTGTATGAAATACAGAAGTCCAGTGGGGCAGTCAGATTTGAAAACTGAAGCATTGTTTTTATTTTTCAATTCAGTATGTATTTCCTTTTCCACCAAAAGACTTAAGAGGATGCCTGCTAAACAAGCTATGAAATTATATTTTGGCTGAAAGACACAGTTGACTGCAGGAATAAGATCAGAAAATATTAATGCATTGCTTAAACTGATCTCAGATACCCTTTATTTAGGTTACATGCTTATAATGATTACTCTTTTAATATTCCTTTCATTTTTTGGTGCCTTCTCATTTTTTGACTTGATTGTGTTATTTTTGCCAAATCATCATCACTGCAAAGAAGCTCATTAGGTATAGAAAAAGAAATATTCTGGTTGTGGACTGTATTTTTTTTCTTTCTTTTCAAGAAAGATAAAATTAAATAAAATACATGGAGAGTTTTTCCTGAGAAATATAAAGCAGTTTAACGAAAATACAGAAACAAATAGCTGTTAAAGGCACACCTGTATAGCCAAATATACTGCGCTGAGTGATTTCTCCAGTATAATATAGTTCCAGTGGTCAAACTCCATCTGAAAATTTGACTCTATCATGCAGAGATATCAGTTTTGAAGATGAGGATTTCCAATGCTTGTTTGTGTATTTGAGAACCTATATTTTTAGACACTCGACTGTGGGACAACTACTGATCTGATCCGAAGAGGTCGACGTGCTATGTCAAAAAATCAGACTGCTTTGAGTAGATTAAATGGATTGTCTGGAGGCATCAAAGTGCTTAAAGTAATTAGTCACTCTGAAAAAGATTTTGTTTGGCTGTATTTGATTTTGAACCTAATATTGCTGCACTAAACCAAGATATTGGTAGGCTTGTTCACACTGCGATATAATGGACCTGTTTCAGTTTAAGGTCTGAGAGAGGACTTCTGGCTATCTGATTTCTGGTGCCATGTAACTTTGATGCTTAGCATCCAGTTGTGTGTCAGTTCAAATACTAGGTTCTTTGGGACTCTGTGCAAAGTCTCTCATGTACTGTCAGGACGTGCTGATTTGGGAGCCCTGGTGGGCTGGGTGTCACAGCTGCCTGTTGTTACTTTGGGTGAATGAGAACCTGAATTCCTGACAAGTGGCAGAGTCCAGGTTACATCACAATGGATGCATGATGAATAAAGCTTCTCAGTTGGAGGAGCTTTACTGTTGGTTAATAGCTAAATTATTTGAATACTTGCCTGTGTGTTCAGTGAAGAGTGTTTTAGACTTCAAAGAGTTGGACCCTGCCATTCCTTCTTTTCATGAAAATGCCGTAACTAGAGTTGACATGAGTTTGAACTCGACGGCACCAAGGACAGAAGGGAAGAAAAGTTAATACAGTGAGCTTTTTGGTGTGCCTTTCAAAGAGGTCTTTTTTCCTGGCTTACAGAACACATGCTGTGAGAGGTCCTGATGTGTAGACCTCTCCCGGGCACACCTATTTTTTTCACTATTAGCTCATCACTGCAGGCCCTTGTGCAGCGTGAGGGAGCATCCAGTTGCCCTAGATCATAGCTTTGTTGTTAAGGGAGAAAGGCAGGCATGGTACCTAAGTACCCTCTTACTTGCCCTCCAGTGACACCTGCTCTTCTCTGTAGATCACATAAGTTGGTAAGTCACCCCGAGTCATTCACTTGAGGTCAAAACTCTGATTCTTTGACTTTGCAACATCTCTTTTGAATGTCCTGTGTATGTGGATGAAACATGGACTTTTGCATTTAGTTTGCATTGTGTTCTTAGTGTCGTGAGACATAGAATCATAGAATGTTCGGGGTTGGAAGGGACCTTGAAAAATCATCTAGTCCAACCCCCCTGCCAGAGCAGGATTCCCTAAGGCAGCCACACAGGAACACGTCCGTGTGGGTTTTGAATATCTCCAGAGAAGGAGACTCCACAACTTCTCTGGGCAGCCTGTGCCAGTGCTCTGTCACCCTCACAGGAAAGAAATTTTTCCTCATGTTGAGGTGGAACTTCCTATGTTCCAACTTGTACCCATTAATCCTTGTTCCCCTTGACACCCACCCCTCAGATATTTCTATATGTTAATAAGGTCCCCTCTCAGCCATCTCCTTTCAAGGCTGAACAGCCCCAGTTCTCTCAGTCTCTCTTCACAGGAGAGATGTTCAAGTCCCTTAATCATCCTCGTAGCTCTCCCATGGACTCTCTCCAGTAGGTCCCTGTCTCTCTTGATCTGGGGAGCCCAAAACTGGTCACAGTATTCCAGGTGTGATCTCACCAGGGCAGAGTAGAGGGGGACGAGAAGATGAGAACCTGCCTAGACCTGCTGGACACACTTTTCTTAATGCACCCCCAGGATTGCTGTCCCATGGGCAACTTGCTGCCCACTAGGACTCCAAGATCTTTCTCCATGGGACTGGTTTCCAGCAGGACAGCCCCTAATCTCTGCTGGTGCCTGGTGTTACTCCTCCTGAGATGCAGGACTCTACACTTGTCCTTATTGAACTTCATGAGGTTCCCCTTTGCCCAGCTCTTCACCCTGTCCAGATCTCATTGGATGGCAGCACAGCATTCCTGTGTGTCAGCCACCCCTCCCAGTTTTGTATCATCAGAGAACTTGCTGAGGATGCACTCTATGCCCTCATCCAGATCATTGATGAAGATATTGAACAAAATTGGACCCAGCATTGATTCCTAGGGAACATCACTGGCCAGAGACCTCCAGCTTGACTCTCTGCCACTGATCTCAACCGTTTGAACTCTGTTGTTGAGCCAGTTCACAATCCACCTCACGGTCCAATCATCTATCCTACATTTCTTGAGTTTACCTATGAGGATGTTATGGGGGACAGTGTTGAAAGCTTTACTGAAGTCAAGGTATATGACATCCACTGGTCTCCGTTCATCAAGCCATTTTGTCACACTTTCGTAGCAGGATATCAGATTAGTCAGGCAAGATTTCCCCTTGGTAAATCCACGCTGGCTACTCCTGATAACCTTCTTTTCTTCCAACTGATTAGAGATAGCCTTCAGAATGAGCCGCTCCATCATCTTTCCAGGGATGGAGCTGAGGCTGACCAGCCTGTAGTTGCCAGAGTCCTTCTACGTGCCCTTTTTGAAGACTGGAGTGACATTGGCTTTCTTCCAGTCCTCAGACACCTCTCCTATTCCCCATGATATTTCAGAGATGATGGAGAGTGGCTCAGCCACAACATCAGCCAACTCTCTCAGCACATGTGGGTGTTGGGGGCCCTGGATTTGTGCATTTTCAGCTTTTGTAATAGTTCTCTAACCAAATCCTCACTGACCAGTGGAGAATCATCCTCACTCCAGTTTTTCATGTTGTAATTATTTTACTTTTCCTCCTAAGAAAGAGTTTTGGAGATGCAGGGAGAGAGTCATGGGTGAAAGAGACACCTGGAGTGAATATGATAGGATGGCTCACTTTGAAATTGCTATTTAGATATAAGGAAGAAGTTCTTCACCATGATCGTAGTGAAGCACTGGAACAGGTTGCCCAAGGAGGCTGTGAATGCCCCATCCCTGGAAGTGTCCAAGGCCCTGCTGGATGGGGCTTTGTGCAACCTGGTCTAGTGAGAGGTGTCTCTGCCCACAGCAGGGGGGTTGAAACCAGGTGATGTTCAAGGTCTCTTCCAACCTTAACCATTCCATGATTCTATTTGGCATTTCCTTTTGGAGGGCAGCAAAGTGGCTACTAGTTATATCCTAATGACTGAAGTTGCGTGTAATTTCTGCCTGCAAGCATGAGATTTATTCTTCTGGGTGAAACTGGCCCTTTCTAGATGACATAGTTGAATTTCATGCTGAACTTCCCCTGAGTTCTTGCCAATATGCGACTCTGCAGCCATGTAACAAGCATGTAGTTTCTTGGCATTCTGCATGTTTTATGGAAAGATCCTCATTGAAATCATAAAGACTTGGCATGAATGGGTTTTTCCTGACTCACAGGTTTTTTTATTCTGCACTTCTGTTTGGCAGTTATAGTTCAGTAAAAAATTTGCATTTAATTTAAAAGAGTTTACCAAAGTAACTGAAACTGCAACTGTTTTTCAAATTACTTTTAAAGGTCATTTTCAAGTTTTTCTGCAGTGGCTAACTAAAAATAACAATGAATGCAAAACAACCAAACTCTTGCCACATAATTAAATCTTGACATTTAATCTTATGTCTTTAAAAATGATTCAGTATGTCTGTATTTGTACATCTATCTATTTTACTTTCTGCTAATTCTCTATCACTGCATTGTGTCCAGGTGAGAAGCTGTGTATTCATAAGTGTTGTTTGTATCAGGTAGTTTTTTATGGTTGGGCTTTAATATTTTACATGGTGAATGGAAAACATAATTTTGACAGGTAATAGTGATGTATCCTTTCTCTTCCTCTCCACTTACACACAGGGCATAATGCAAGATGTGCAATTACTTGTCATGCCTCAAGGATTTATTTCTCAGTGCCCGGATCTTAATCGCAGTAAGTCTATTAATTCTTATACCATAAAATGTGTGGTTTGTACCTACTTTTTATCCTACAAGCTTTCTTAAAACCTTGAGTTTCAATGTATTGGTTGTCAACTTGGACATGATTGAGTCTATTGTGGATCCATCTTTTTTTATTTTTAATTAATATACATATTTTGTTATTCTAGCATGCCCAACTTGTAATGACTTCCATGGACTTGTGCAGAAAATTATGGAACTGCAAGACATTTTAGCCAAAACATCAGCTAAGGTAATGTTTACTAGGAGTCATGGCATGGGAGAAATGAGGACTCTAAGGCTTTAATTGCTGAATTTTAAAATTATTTGTGCTTATGTGGGGATGTATGTGTGTGTGCAGAACATACCTGCATGGTGTGTGGATGTGTTAGTATAAATATATATATATATGCCTAGTCTTTATACAAGAAAATTCCCAGTTCAGACAGCTTTCTTGTATTTTAATAGTTTTATAGAATCATATCTTTTAATAGTAAGCAGAATCCAAGTTCCTGAGCAACAGAAAGGCTCATAGATATTCAAGCTCTATCTGTTCGAGTGACAAGTCGATAAACCTAGAATGAAATATTACTGTGCTTATAGTGCTTATTGCAGCAAGACTTACTGGTCCAAGACTTTTCTAGACCTGAGCTGCCAAAGGCTTGTTCCTGCAAGATCCATGCAGGAAAAGGAATTAAGAATCCAAAGCAGTACTCTGTCTTTTTTTCTTTCTTTTGTTTTCTATAGAATATAATACCAAAAGCATTCATGTCTACCAGTGAACACAGAGTAGTCTTCTGGTTTTAAATGTCATTTCTTTAGATGTCTGTAGAAATGCTGTTACCTGGCTGATTTAATACACAAATTTTAAAAACGCCTTGGTGGAAGTGGAGAAAAAATTGCTAACGTGTTGGTTTTGAGCTTTACCTTCCATTTTGCCACTCTACCGGGATTTAGATCTTTTTCACATAACCTAATAGCTACAACCGCTTTATGTAGAGCAAAATTCTCGGTCAGTTCACACACACAAAGATGAAGAGTCAGGGGCCATGTGCATCTTGACTTACTCATTTTGTTTCCTGGTGTCCCTGATGTTAGAGAAAGATAAAATGCATTGTGTCTTGCTTCTGTAATTTCCATGTCCGAGTGACTGAAGGTTTAATCATATTATATTTGTCAATAATTCTTTTATTACCTTTGACTGCATTTTATTACATGTGATCTGTTATCTGCATGCATGATGATAGGGGGGACAGTTTCAATCACGTTTGTACTAATGTGGGAACCACTTACAAATTCGAAACTCTTTTTTGTGAACTCTAAATGCAGTTGTCCCAAGCTGAGCAGAGGATGAACAAATTGGATCAGTGCTACTGTGAAAGGACCTGCACCATGAAAGGCATGACTTACAGAGAGTTTGAATCCTGGACAGATGGCTGTAAGAACTGCACTTGCATGGTATGGCTACGACTTGAGTGGAGGCTTGGGAACTCTGGTGTTTCCTCTAATTACAGTTTTGTTGAGGCAAATAATGAGAAAAACTTCCAGATCTATGCTAGGTCGTAACCCCAAAGTGCTAGAAAACCTTTTCTAAATCTAAGGAGTGGTATTAATAAATACATTTTCCTGTTGTTTCAGCAGTGCCAGCATGTGCAGATCTCCTGTATTTCATGTCACCATATGCAGATGCTGTGCAATATACTTAGCTATCATGTTATTCTCATGCACTGAGTTGCAAACAGTTTATCTGGATAATTAATTTCCTGCTTTTTGTCACTATAAACACAGCCTTTTTCTTAGCAAATGATTTAATAGATCCCTTGTGTCCAATTCCCTTTGGTTGCCTTTGGTTACATCTCAATAAGTAAGAAAGAGTAAAATGTCAGGGTCATATGCATGCTCTGTTATATCACGAATGAAAAAGACTTGTTAGGTGAATGGAAGATTCTCAAAAGTCTCACAACTCAACAGGTAATTGCAAGTATCCTTTGAGGTTCCAAATCTTTGTTTTTTGTTATTGTCCATTCATGTAAAACTCATTAATTCCATTTGAACTCATTAAAAGGATAATCTGAAGGCCATTAGAAACTGGTGAGAAGGCTGTTGTTGTCTGTACTGCACTTTCAATTGATTTCCTGCTATCTGTAATTTACTAAGTCGTTCTACTTAAGATTAGTATGATTTTGATTCTTATATTTCTGGAGGGATATTAATTTTGCTTTTAGTGTTTTGTGATTCATGAGAAGAAAACTTAGTCCATGGTACCGAATCTGGCTGATAGCTCTTTAAAACTCTTTGAATTTAGTGTTAAATGTATTATGTATTTTTATCTCAGATTTTTCTTGCAGCTATGTTATTATTACCTTTTATAAATGTATTGTAATTTATGTAAGAGTTAGGAGGCAGGGTATTGTTCTGTGAAGCTGTGATTTCACACTAATACATCAGTTTGCTGCTGATTGGCAGAATGTTTTACTTTCAGATAGCTTTACCTCAAAAAGAAATATTCCGTCATTATCATCTCAAAGAACACATCATACATGTCTGAAAGATTGTGTGCATGATACTCAAAAGGTATAGCTTCTGTTCTCGTAGTTATTAAAAAAACAATGTTAAAATGTCTTTTTTGGGTATGTTAGAGAGTTCATTGCATTTAAAAATAGATTTTTTAAATTCCTGAGTTTGAGAACAAACATCTCTGCTCTTGCTGAATATAACTACCAGTTAAACACCTTTTATTTTTGCAGAATGGTACTGTGCAGTGTGAGGCTTTGATTTGCCCCTTCTCTGACTGCCCACTTAACTCTGCCCTAACGTATGTGGATGGCAAGTGCTGCAAAGAATGTCAATGTAAGTTTTACTTATGTTTACTTACTTATTTCTGCTGAATATTTTGAACTCTGCAGAGAAAATGAACCTTTCTCTAAACATTAAAGTGTAAGAAATGGTCACAGAACTAAGTATTTGTGTTGAGGAATCAGGGAACTTAAAGTATTATGGTATATTTTGGGAAATTGATAACTAGAAGATTTTAATTTTTCAGATATGCATATTTTGTTTTATTTTAGTTATGTTATTTTTTCTAAGCATAGATAAATAGGAAAAAAAAATTACTTAAACTTTCTGCAGACTTCCGTAGTCTGTCTTTTAGACCAAACTGCTAGAAATCCAAGAACAATTGCCTGGTGTTTGTTGTGACGAGTGTTCTAACACCTCTGTCACAAGCACAATGTACTTTCAACCTTATGCTGTAGTGCTAGAAATGGAGGTTTGGATTTATGATTCTTTTTCTGTAATTAAGGGAGGAGAAAACTCCTACTAGGCCCAAGAGACCAGCAAAAACCAGACACCTAGAAATGTTCTTTCAGAAAAGGTCAGACAGAATTATAGAGGAAAGTGGATAGAGGTAATTTAATATTGTCATTTAAGATAGGTGATTACCTTTTGGTTTTATCGCATGTTGGTTTTGTTGCAAATAGGACAAGAGAAGGGGAATTTTGGGTTAGTCACTGTCTAGATGGACTACGTGTAATATTTGAGATTGATTATCGACATGTATCACATATGAGATGGTTATTTATTGTAGGCTATGGTGGAATACATTCTTGAAATGGAGCGTGAGATACAGCCACTTCTTTATTCTGTAAATGTTGAGATTTTTCTGTGTGATTTCATCACTCCTGCTGTATAAAACTTCTTATGGAGCATAGAGTAATATATAACTGTTTAAATGACATGTTGTAAGATAAAATTCAGGAAGACGTTTTGTACTCTATTGCTCTTGCTCCCACAGGAGTTTATTAATATTTAATTGTGTTAGAAGTTACACAAACCATCCCATTTTATGAAACCTTATTAAGTTACTCAAGTAGATTAATTCTAATTGAGAGGAAATGAGAATTCAAATACTTTTTTTTTTTTTTTAACCAACTACACAGCATTTCCATGAATATTAGATGGCTTGGGGAACTGGTAATTCAGGGATGTGAGTCGTGTGGAGTTCAAGCCTCTGTTTCAATCTTTGACCGTGCTGGCAGAATTTGAAAACCTGATCTTCTGCGGTGTGTTTTTGTAACTTAGAGCCTGTGAATTGAGTTGGGAATTCTCCATTCAGATGTTAATGGGGAAGTATTGTCATCATTTGACTTCTTACAAAGTTTTTTTTACTGTGAGTCTTGATAAAGGTCAAGAAACGTGAATGAGCTGGTCACTGACCTTGTCACACAGCATTGCTGCTTCTTCCAATTAAGATACAGTTCTGGTACAGCACCCTGTGAAGTTTGCTCTGATATTGCCTTTTTGATATTCTTAATATTATCAAAAGCCTTTTAGCTTCCAGTGTTGTTAATTTGATGCCAGTACATAATTCAATTTATAACTAACATGCACACATATAACTCTCTTGACAAACTACCAGAAAAATGATTAGATCAAAAAAATGAATTGCTTTGGAAAAAATATTCCTGATTTCATCTAGGTTATTTAAAGTGCCTTTCAAAAAAATATCAAACAACTTTTAAAGTGGCCAAATCGTGAAATTAAAGGATGGAGAGTGAACTGTAGTCTCACTGACAAGGTAGTTAAATTCCAGTGAAAGAATGTGAAAAGTGGAAGTTGGAGGCAATGCAGACTGCAGGCCCCTTATTTATCCTCCAGGCCAGTTTGGTGGAAATGTTGAGTTGTCACTGAGTTCATGTATATGTGCCAGCTGTACCCTGTCATCTTGGTGTCTTCAGCTCAAGGTCTGAGCTAATTGAGGTCAGTGTGCTCAGTGACCACGGTTCTTGCTCGAGGGGTCAAAGCCAAGTTCCTCCATTTGGATAGGTTCTGAGAATAACTTTTTCATTTTCAATTCTTAGAACAGTATCAGTGGATGTGGCATCTGACTAGATTATATAGAGTGGACACAGATAACTTTTGATTGGGAAAACAGCTAATTAGGATGTGTTGCTCAAAGAGACACTATCCTGTTACTGGACAATTAATCATAAATTCCAAGGACAAGTGAGGCTTAATATGCTGTTCTTTAGCTGCATTTGGTATTTATTTCAAGATAGAACATGTATAGATATCTCTGTTTCCTTCCTGGTATTTGTGGTACCTCATACCAGATGATGTTTTTTTTCTGCTAAACTGTCGTGGTCGATCTTCCCAGGCAGTGGTAGCTGTGGCAGCCTTGTTGCTGTGTCTCACCCAGGGCAGAGTGTTTCCCTCCACACTTCTTTGCTTCTTGCTTCTTCTTTCCTTCATTGCTTCTGCTGGTATTTGAAGAAGGCTGCCAAAAATAAAAAGAACAGGGTCTGATTTAACGACAGCTGGCATAGAAGAGTAGAAGTGTACAGCACTTAGGGCTTTTACAGTAACCAGCAAGCAGGCTTCCCAGGTTTTTGGTTTTATTTTGTTTGTTCTTTTTTTTTTTCCTGTTCCCCCTCTGAGTGATTCATGATGGATTCATTCTTCGTGGCTTTAGGCATCTAGAATTTAGGAATGTCATCTGAAGTGACTTCATTTACACTATTCAGTAAAATAGGGTGGGCACAGTCCTGTGGCTCTGGGGCTGGGTGGCACTTGTGGCTCACATCTACGTGTTAAAACTCTCTTCCCTTTTGTCCCCAGCAGAACATCTGCACCCACGTGGCTGACTGGGAATGGCCTCTGAATCACTGCTGTCCCCCCAGCCGTGCTTGGTGTTGCTTCAGGGCATGTTAGCTGGTACAGACCAAAATAGTGCCATGACGTGTGCTTACGCTCAGACTACCTGGAGGGTTTTCAAGCCTGTTGTCATTTACTGTTTCATTTGCCTGTTGTGCTTCATTTACCAGTTATGGACATCACCATTTAGATTCTCTTGACAGCCAGTGAAAGAGACTGGCACCTCCAGAGGGCACTTGGTGCTGAGAGCAAGGCTGGAAAAGACAGGATGAATAGCCTTCTGGAGGTGAACATCTCTTTCCATAGACTGTATAGGGAGCCTAGGCGATTAGATACGATACTGAACTTCTAGACAGCTAAAGTTGTGACGTTCAGCTTTCCATATTTGGTGTGTCAATTAGGAATAGAAAGTGCTGGATTTTTAAGCTTGGTTCTGACATTAAGCAGTTGGGCTAAGAAACTTGTGGGAGCCTACGACACTGCCAAGCCCTAGGAATTGAACTTCAGCCCAGCATTTATGTTTTGGACGCTGCAGCTTTGTTGTGTCTTGTTTGATGACATTTCCAACACCAGAAATGTCAGCACAACTGACTCTTCATGTTTTAATAAAGTTCGGGGAAGAACACTTGGTAAGGAATGGTGTAGGGTGTGGTGTTTTGGGTTTTTTTTTTTGTGTATGTGTTTTGTTGTTAAACCTATACTTCTTTGACTTTGGTTGTTCTTTTAAGCCAAAATAAAAACAAAACAAAACCAACAACCCAAACCATGACCTTCTCCTCTAATTCCATGCTTTTGTTGGAGGACATTCAGACAGCTTGTTCTGTTTTGTCTTGTGTGAAGGTTGATTCTGCTAGTGTAAGGAATGGCAATGCATGCAAATTGTCATTCTGTTTTCTATTAACTGTAAAGGCTAAAAGAAGCAACGATCTTCCAAGGCACGTAAATTGGCCAGTGCCTTGGATATATATTTCAGCTGCAGACAGGCTATTCAACACAAAGTCAGTCCAGCTACTAGAGCATACATCTTAGTGGGAACAATTGTTGGGAGCTGGAAAGCAGAGACTACATTCTTTTCTATTCCCAATGCAATTGTAAACCTATGGGAGAAGGTCAGTGCAAGAGATCACTGGATTATTTTCTCCTCTGCAGAGACAAATGCAGTATGGTGATAGGCACTGATACGAATTGGGGTGAGATTAAGCTCCCCAACTGACCCTATAAAGTATTGCTTGGCTTAAGAATCACAGAATCACAGAATGTCAGGGGTTGGAACGGACCTCAAAACATCATCTCATCCAGCCCCTGTGCCAGAGCAGGATCACCTACAGTCGGTCACACAGGAACACGTCCAGGTGGGTTTTGAATGTCTCCAGAGAAGGAGACTCCACAACCTCCCTGGGCAGCCTGTGCCAGTGCTCTGTCACCCTCACAGTGAAAAAGCTTTTTCTAATATTTTTGTGGAACCTTCTGTGTTCCAGCTTGTACCCATTGCTCCTTGTCCTGTCATTGGACGTCACTGAAAAGAGCCTGGCTCCGTCCTCCTGACACTCACTCTTTACACATTTATGAACATTAATGAGGTCACCCCTCAGCCTCCTCTTCTCCAAGCTGAAGAAATCCAGCTCCTTCAGCATTTCCTCGTAAGGGAGATGTTCCACTCCCTTCATCATCTTTGTGGCTCTGCACTGGACTCTCTCCAGCAATTCCCTGTCTCTCTTGAGCTGAGGGACCCAGAACTGGACACGATATTCCAGATGTGGCCTCACCAGGGCAGAGTAGAGCAGCAGGAGAAGTATAAGGTCATTTATTTAAAGTGAATTGTGGAAGGACTGCCAATGTCTTAGTAGCTGAGACAATTGGTACTTGGTCAGCGAATCTTTTTATGGTAACGTTTTTATTAGTTGGTGTATTAACATTAAGGCACACTTCCAATAGCTATGTGATATATGTAATTTTTTTAAAATGGAGCCAATGTATTTTTAACAAACTAGCTGATTTTCCTTTTTTTTAAGGCTAGAGGAGTTATTTATGCCAGTATCTGATGCAGTAGTAATTCCCATCACCAAAGACTGATCTCCAGGAAGAAATTGCACTCTAATCATTGCTATCCTCCTCCCAGTGACCTGCAGATACTTACAGACCTAATCTCAAACTATTGAAATCTATCCCAACAGATTTTGGTGGAGGTTAAAGTTTGA